GCGTCCCTCCCTCTCGGTCCCCGCGGGTGCTCTCGTGGTCCCTCGGTTCCCTTCGGTGCCCCATTCTTGCGGTCTCTCCGCCTGCCCCCTCGTGGTCCCCGTCGCTGTCGGCCCCCCGGTGTCTCCCCCTCTTCTCCAGCTCACTTACCTTGGTCTGTCTTCGCTGGGTCTCACATCACCTCCCTGGCTTCCGAACGGCGCCTGCGGACCCCTCTGCCCACTTTCCTGTCACAGACTTCTTCCCTTTGGGTGCTTCTCAGACCCCCTCAGTCTGCCGGCCTTCAGCACTGCCGCTCTCTTCCCGGGGTGATGCGCTGCCGGGCACGGCCCAGGGCGGAGGGCTGGCGGGTCACAATCACCGTGCTCGGGGACCAAGGGTGCCCCTGCAGCAGGCCACAGAAGGGAGAGACTGGTGAGACTGGCTGGACTGGTGGCTCCCTCGTCCAGGAGCATAAGTAGGAGTTGACAGATGGCGAGTGGGAAGAAAGGTCTTCCGGGTGGAAGCCACAGCACGTGCAAGTGCATGAAGGTGGGAACTTTGGGGGGGGGCACGGGTTGTGTAATTGAGAGGTGGAGGAATGCTTGGCAGTCTGGGAGCCAGTGGGGTCTTGAGTGTGACTTCTGGTGTGACTGCTCTTACACACGTGTGCCTCTGCACCAAGGATGCAGGCTCCCGTATTGCTGGGCCTGAAGGAGGACGTTTCGGAAAGGAAGCTGTGTTGTGTGTCAGATGTGGTGCTGGCCTCAGAGTTGTAAAGAAACAGCAGCAGGGCTGTTTCCTACCTAGGAGTGAGGTTCTAGGTGGCTGTTGCAAAAACTCGAGGTTGCTTGAAGAATACGTTGAGTAGTTGTTTACAAATCCCACATAGCGTGTACAACATGGGAGGAAATGCTTGCTTGCCGCACTGCCGCACAGGTTACTAACATGGAATGGTGGTTGGAGTTGGTTTGTGATGTTTAAAATACTGTGCTCTTTTTTTCTTCTTTTGCAGTGTTGGGGATGGACCCAGGTCCTTGTACATACCAGGCAGGTGCTTTACCACTGAGGCACCACAGCCCCAGCCCATACTAGTGTTTTTGTTGTTGTTAATTTGTCCATTGCGTATCATTTTGTTTAAATTCATCAACTAGTTTGGGGTTGAGATTATGAGGAAGCACTGAGATTCACTGTTTGTTTGTTTTTGTTTTGTTTTGTTTTTTTGTACCAGGGATTGAACTCAGGACCTTTTGCTTACGAGGTAGGCGATGGAACCACTGAGCTAAATCGCCGGCCTGAGACTCACTGTTTTGAGTGACACCTTTCATCAGACAGACCTAGGTCCGAATCCTGGTTCTGCCTTTCCAAGTGGTGAGGCCTTGGACAAGTTGCTAAGTGCTCCCTGCCACCTCTGTTGGCCTTTCAATGGGGATGGCAGGAGTGCTGTCCACAGAGGGTGGTTCTGGGGATAAGTGTGGTATTTGTAAATTCTGTAGCAGAACGTGAGGCACAGTGTGCGTAATGCAGAGTAGCTCCTAAGATTACTGTTTGGTTTGGGATGTACATTGTGTTGGTTCTTAGCTGAGGGCAATTATACCCCTATGGGACATTTCATAACTGGGGAAGGGGCACAATCTCAGCATCTAGAAAGTGGACATGGCCAACAGGGAACGTTGCTTAGTGTCTTCTAATGCACAGGCAGTCCCCTCGCCACAAATAGTACCTACCTGGTCCCAAATGTCACAGTGTGGATGGAGAGAGACTGCTTTTTTCCTTGTTACAGCTTGTGTTGTGTGGCATTCTGTGTATTTACTTCTTTTGTCCATCAGCTTTCATTGGGTCATGTACTGTTTGTTTCTTTCCGTTACAAGTGAACCTGCTCATCTGCCTTTCCCTTTTTCCCTCCCCCTCAGGACCCATGGCCAAGTGATCTCCCTGGGTCACCTTCCCCCACTGGCTTCAATTTTCATTAATCTGACAAGTACTGGAGCTCTGGGTTGTCTGGCTGTATGCTAGATTCTGGGAAAGTGGCATCTTCCAGGGAGAGGCAGGTGCCTGAACAGGCAGGTCCTGTGATAGACCTGAGCTTCAGAAGCTGCCCTGAGGTGACTTAGAGGATGCTATGGGAGAAGCATGCTGTGGAGGCTTCCTGGAGGACTGGGGAGAAGTAGTCAGACCCATGGAGCTGTAGGTAGATAGGAGGAACTGTGCAGCTGAGGCTGAGGGCAGTCAGGTGAGGCATAAGTCTGTGTGTTACTTGCAGAAAGACACAGGGGAGAGGCCTGGGTGACCTGGTGAAGCTAAGACCTCAGCCCCAAATTGCCTAGCTTGGCTGTCCTTAACATGCCAAACCAGGGTTTTCTTTCCCACACTGGGAAGTGCTGCTCTACAGTAATACATCTGTGAGGTTTTCCAGATGAGGAAACTGAGCTCGGGGGTTAAGTTCTTGGTCTCCAACAGATTTCCCTTTGGAGAGATAAGATTTGAATCTATCCTGGCACTCTGGAAGGCATAGGTAGGAGGATTGCAAATTTAGGTTCAGCTTGGGCAACTTTGTGTGTTAGTGAGATCCCATTTCACAAGTAAAAAGTAAGTAAATAAATAGAGCTGAGGATGTAGCTCAGTGAGAAGGCCCTGGGGTTGATCTCCAGTACCAAGAAGAAAAAAAAAAAAAGACTCAAACCCAGGTCTTGACTACAGATCATACTGTGACATTCACTCTGCCATCTCTGTTTTTCCAAGGGCTACGTCAAATCTGTTTGCTGGTCTTTTCTCTTTTTTCCTCTAATCCTGTGAACAGTCCAGGTGATGAGTCCCAGTGTGAGCCTTTGAGTCCCTTCCCCAGTCTTTGGCCTATGTCTCTAGTCTCTGATTCCTAATTACTCCATCCCCTGGATTTGGGCCAGAACTGACTCCCAACCTGGGAGAGTGGTTCTGAGGTCATGGGGTAGGTACTTTGTTTGCCCTCTAACTGGAGAACTATTCCCAGCTTTTCTCTTAGCAATAGGAAAGTCCCAGCTTGTTGGCCCTTGTGTCCTTGGCTAAGCCCCTCTCTTCCCAGTCGCCTCTTCTTCCAAAAGTGTGCACCCACCTCCTGCCTTCAGGGTGGTATTGGGTCTGTAGCTGCATGCCCTGGGCTCAGGGTTCTCACTCTGCCCCTGTCCTTAGAATCCAGTGCTTACAACCCCTTTCCAGGTTGGCTGAGAGCTGGCCTGGTGTTGGGAGAAGTTAGTGGGACGTGGTTTTGCTGTCTCTGAGCCACACAGCCCTTTAAGGATCTGGGTGCTGGTAGGCCTGCTGCTAGTAACTGGGTCTCCCCTCAGGACTGCTAGTCAGTGTGTTGGACTGTCAGGATGCTGAGCCTCCAGGTAGCTCGGCTGGCTTCCCCTGGAGGCCCTCCCAGGGCCCCTGTGCCCATTACCTCCATCCTTGGGGGCCTGTAAAGATTAAGAAGGGTTGGCAGGTAAAGCACCAGCCTGTGAATTCCCTGGCAGGCAGAGCTTTGTTTGGAAAAGACAGGAGCAGCAGTAGGAACAGGGGAGTTGTGTTGAAGTCTTGTGTGAGCTGGGGAAGGGGCTGGGTCTGGGGCTGGTGCTAGGGCTGGGGCTGGCAGCCTCCCAAGGGGGCAGCCAGTGTCAAAGGCTTTGGAACAGCACATGAAAGCAAGAAAGCAGAGACAGTGGAGTAGGGTGGACAGGAGAAGCAGAGGTAGTGTGCGTTTTTTTGTTTGTTTGTTTGTTTTGGTTTTGGTTTTGGTTTTTTGAGAGAGGGTCTCACTGTGTAGTTGAGACTGACCTGGAACTCACTGTGTAGCCCAGGCTGGTCTCGAACTCACAGCAATCTTCCTGCCTCAGCCTCCCAAGTGCTGGGATTACAGGCATGCGCCACCACTCCCGGCAAGTGTGTGTTTTTAATGGCTACCTTTCTCACAATTTCCCCTTCTTCCTTTTGTAGCCAGAGTCATGGTTTTCAAACGGACAATCTTCCTCTCAGCCGCCCAAGTGCTGGGATTACAGGCATGCGCCACCACTCCCGGCAAGTGTGTGTTTTTAATGGCTACCTTTCTCACAATTTCCCCTTCTTCCTTTTGTAGCCAGAGTCATGGTTTTCAAACGGTCTCTAAAAACCAGTGGCAGCCACTTCCGTTTTCTTGAAGTTGCTGAAAGTTTCAGAGGGTGGGGGTGGTGGGGTGTGTGGTGCCTGGCTGAGTGTTTGAATGATCTGAGGAAAAGTACCAGAGTCACTTGGGCAAACACCAAGCATCTGTCCTGCTTTTCTGGCTTGAGTGCCGTTGGCCCTGGTGTAGTGACCGTCTACTACCCACCCTGCTCAAAAGAGTCTGGACCTGGTCTCAGGGATGGTCTGAAGGGCATCTGCTGAATCTGAACCACCTGCCATAACTCGGCCCAGGAAACAGACTTAGAGGAGCCAAGGGCCCAGCCAGGTTTACCCAGTTAAGAGTGAATGCACAGCCGCCTTGCTTGCTGATGCCCAGGGTGCTCAGCAAGTTGCCAATGGTTCTTAGAGCCATGGAGTTTGGTGGGCAGGCCTGGGCTGTGGGAATTTGTGCTGTCCATCAGGAGGCCTAGGGTCAGTTGAATAGGCAGGGTCCTAGCTCTGCCTCTGGTAGCTGCATGGCTGTTCTCTCCTTTTCCAAATGGGACTCTTGTCCAATGGGAGTACTCAGAATTCTTCCCCTTGTCCTGATGTGGAGAGGAGATGAGGTGCTGAAAGTGTAGGTCCCTGGGCTTTCCACAAATGATGGTTTGGCACGTCCCTTACCTGTCTCCAACTTGACCCTCTCTACTGTGGACGGGCTTTGTGTCTCGGGCTTTGGTAGTGTGTGGAGGGAAGGGTTGACCTGTGTGAGCTCCCAGAGCACAGCCTGGTGGGCTCCAGTTCTGCCAGACCAGCTGGCACCTTGGCAGTGCTGGGGTGGCTGCTACAGTGCAGGGCCTGGGCCTGACCTCAGAATAGTGGCTGTGGGCAGCTTTTGTTTCTTTGGTAACAGTTTTAATTGAGATATAATTAGTGTACCACACAATTTATCCATTTAAAGTACACAGTTTACTGATTAGTATATTTACAACTTTCTGGAGCTATTGCCACATTCAATTTATTTTTTTCTTTTTCTTTTCTCTCACAAATTAAAAAACACATACTCTTGTTTCTCTTCAGATCAAATACATCTTTTTCATTTCACTTAAAAAAGAAACTGTCCCCCAAGTTCCTGAAAACCTCCACTTTTGGCCTGTGGATTTCCCTGCTGACATTTCATATAAGCAGGCCCACACAGCCTGTTGCTCCTTGTGCCTGGCTTCATGATGGGGCTCAGGCCGCTTTCTGACCTGCTGGTCTCCCGTGTAGGAGGCTTGCGTTCCACTACCCTCAGCCTTTTGGTGCCTCCGGCTGCCTGGACTTTGGGCGGAAGTCAGCAGTCATGATTAATTTGGTGGTTGCCCCTGGAGATTACTTTAGTCCCAGGTACACCCAGGCCAGGAAGCCCATTGCTGCCCCGCCCCCACTGTCAGTGTGCTTTGGGTGGGTCGCTGAGTCACCTTGGCTGAGCCTCAGTTTTCTCACCCGTGTCAAGGAGGCTTATCTGGGACCAGGTGCCTGGTTCTCTTCACCGAGAGGGATAGGAAGGTAGGGAAGGATCCTGGAGGAGGTCTGACTCCTGGGCAGAACTGGGAGTTCTGGTGTGCACAGTACATGCTTCCTCCTGTGCCACTTATGGGGAGTGTACTCAGCTGTGTCTGCTAGAGCCTGCCCTCCTCCCGGGACAGCCTGTCCCTGAGTCATCTCACACCTCTCTCTGCCCAGGCTCCCTCAGTGGCTGGGAGGGGCCAGACCCCAGGGCTAGTAGGGATTTTACTTTATTGATTCCTGATTTTAGAGGGCAGGAGCCTTGTGACAGTGTGGTTTGGAGATGTGTGTGTCCTCCAGCTCACACTTGTGAGCAGTTAATGTCCAGTGCCAGGTTCAGTGCTAGGCACTGCCTGCAGGCTCCCATAGGAACTTATGAGGAAGACTTTGGAGGAAGTGCAAACCTGGGGGTCCACATCCGGTACTGGGAGCACATCATTGCTATGTGGGAGACGTGCTCCAGACAGCAGGAAGTGGAGCAGTAGACAGAGATGGGGCTGCTGGGCCAGGCTGCGTGGGGAAGCCGTCCTACAGAGTGCTTCACAAAAGACCCAAAGGATGCGAAGAAACCAGTGCCGAGACAAAGCATTGAGGTGGACCCAAGTTTTTAGTGTTCTAGAACAGCAAGAAGGCCAGTGTGGCTGGCACAAGTGAAAAATGGCTAGGGCAGCTTTCTAGGCGGTACTGGGCACAGGAAGCTATGGAGGAAACCAGCTAGAGACCGAAGGGAGGTGCAGGTGGTCTCAGGTGGAGAGGGGAGGAGTCAGCAGTGTGTGGATGGTGCTGGAGGGATGGCTGGGTGTCCAGGGATGGTCAGGGGTAGGCCGTGCTGTTCCAGCTGCTCCATGAGGGGTCATGAGTCTGTAGCCTTCCACCCTCCTTCTAGAGGGCATCCAGGTAGTGCCAAGTGCCCTGAGGGCCAGGAAGGCCAGCCTGGTGAGGGACAGCCCCCTTGGTGTGAGAGCCGGATAAGAGATGATGCGTCTAGCTGTCCTGAGGCAGTGAGTGCCAGCACCAGCTGGCTTGTGCCACCGGCCGTGTGCTCCAGAAGGCCCGGTGCTGGGCCACTGTGCCCAGAATTTGCTTCCCGGTGGCTTGAGGGCTCCCCTACTCACCAGCCACAGGCCTGCATTTGTTTTCTCGACCATCACTGGGTCTCAGTTGTTCCTTGAGGAGAGTTATGTGAGTTGGCTGAGGTGGTGCCTGTGAAGTCCTCGGTGGTGGTGTGGCAGTGGAGCTGGGTGCTGTGGTGCATCTTGTCATTGTTTTGTCTTACATGTCCATCCACAAAGACCTTAAGGTCTTCTGAGGTCCAGCCTGGTCCTGGGAGCTGCCAGTACCATGGAGACTGTGGGTCACACAGGAGACAGCACAAGACTAACATGAGGACAGGAGCACCGGGTGTGGGACCTGCTGTGGTGGATGACACCAGCGCGGCCATCTTGGGTTGCTGGGAGCAGACTGGGGACAGTGGAGGCTATTTGCGAGCTGAAGGGAACAGCAGGGGGAGCCTCATGTGTGACTTGGAGGGGCTGCATATCACTGAGAAGGTAGATGTAGGGTGAGCTGGGGGGGCTATATGCCTGGGTCCTCAGTGTGGAGCCAAGGTAGCTACTGCCTGGCCCAGGGGGAGCCACCTCAGGGTGTTGAGCTTTGTGCTTCAGAGTGGTTATTGGAAACGCAGCCTGGCAGGAGAGCTGCAGGCAGAGTCCCTGAGTGCTGTGGACTAGAACCTGGGACCTTTGGGGAGGGGCTTCTCCGATGCGCCTTCATCTGGGACCTGGAGCCTTTGACTCCATTCCTCCCCCTCCTTGTATGGTGGCTGTCATAGACCACAGAACTGACCCTTCATCTCCTTCCCCCTTCAGGAGTTTGACACCAGGTCCTATCAGGTGAAGCAAGGTCTGAGCTGAGTCAGAATGGTGCCCTGGGCAGAAGGGGCTGGCTCAGAGCAGAGGGAGCCTCCTGTCTGGTGCTGTGCAGCCTGGCCTGGCTTCAGGAGAGGCAGGGATGGGAGGAATCCAGGACCTCCTGAGACACACTTGAGCTGGCTCTGCCCTCAGCACACCTGTGTCCTGAGCCTGAGCCCAGCAGACCTGGGGGGACTGTGGAGGCTGTGCAGAGGGGAGGCTGTCCTGAACTGCCATTCCTACATTGTGGGCAAGGGACCAGCATCTGCACACCAGGGAATGGGCACCTCAGCCTTGTGCAGAGCAGAAACAGTGTCAGGGCCTTGCCTGTCCTTGGGGTCAGATGGCCGAGAGCCCCGGGAAGCTGCCCACCAGCCTTGGCTTTGTTTTCCCCCTGCCATGTATGCCAGGGTGGTGATGGCTTCAGTGGGGGCTGTTGTAGCTTGGTTGTGGTATGCACAGTGTGTGCTGTTGAGCAAGCACCCGTGAGCTATTGGTTTTTAGGAGCCTTGTGGGACTCTTTCTTTTTTGCCCAGGCTGTCCTCAGTCTTGCTGTGTTGCCCAGGCTGGCTTTGAACTCAAAATCCTCTTGCCTCAGCCTCCTGAGTGCTGGAATTAATAGGTGTGGGCCACCTTATAGCGTTCTTAGGAGGAGCAGTGCAGCAGTGTAGGATGGCAGACCAGAACAACACCGTGCATTCTGTTAGCACCTTATGTGCTGTTCCCGGTGCCTATGAGTTACCTGTGACTTGGTGGCAGCCCACTGTGGTCCTCTGCTAGGCCGACAGCGCTGTCCTGCCCCTTGGGCCCTGGTCTGTGGCTGTTCTAGGAGCCACCCCTGGCCTGGCCGAGTGGTGCTGAGAGATGGTTGGGGTGTGTTTGTGTGTGTGGTGTCCAGGCAACAGCCACAGCCTCAAGATGTACAGACTTCCTCTCTCCCTGCCATCGCCCCACACCCTACAATGGCTGTGAGTGACTTGCTGGGCTGGGCTGCAGCTGTGCGTGGAGGTCATGGGCCGTTTGAATTTGTTCAGCAAATACAGGTTGAAGTGAGTCTGAGGCCAGGAGGAGTTCAAGCTGTGTCCCTGGAATGTCCCTGTCAGTGTATGGGGCAGTGAACAGGGGCTGGTGGGGACAAGGGCTGAGGTCTTTCTTCACAGTGACTGGCCTCTTGCAGGCCTGGCATGGTGCACATTGAGGACTTAAACCAGGTCTGGGGCTGAGGGTAGACAGAACAGTGGGTCCTAGGTGTGGACCCCAGGAGATGGCTTGGAGGCTGAGATGTGGGGTGGAGGTCCCTTGAGGAGCTTGGAGTGTGTGCATCCAGCATGTGAGAGATGGGGGCACCCTGGCAGGGGCCTGGCTTGCCCTGTGGGTGGGGGCCAGGGCTTGAGCAGGGTACCTAGGGGTTGTGTGTGACAGACTGTGTTCTTTGCCTGCAGGGCGCCATGTTTTGGAAGTTTGACCTGCACACAAGCTCGCATCTGGACACACTGCTGGAGCGGGAGGACCTGAGCCTACCTGAGCTACTGGATGAGGAGGACGTGCTGCAGGAGTGCAAGGTTGTTAACCGAAAGCTGCTGGACTTCCTGCTGCAGCCGCCGCACCTGCAGGCCATGGTGGCCTGGGTCACCCAGGAACCCCCAGCCAGTGGTGAGGAGCGGCTGCGCTACAAGTGAGTCCCCCACCCTTGGCATACTTGGGTGTATGGGTCAGGGCTGGGAGGACAGAGCCCTTCTGGGGTCCCATGGTGCCAGGTGCAGACCCCACTGTGCTTCGTGTCTTGGTCCTTCTTTTCTTTTTTAAGAGTAGGAAAAGTTTACTGGGAGAAAGAAGGGGGACCAGAAAGTGGGTTGCCCACTCACCCCACTTTTAAAAGATGTTTTGTACAGCAAAGCCATGTGGTGAGGCAGGTACACAGTGGGACAAAACTATAAGACCCAGTGGAAAATTACAAGGTGAATACGAGGTGGGGCAAAGGCATGACCAACTAATAAGATTACAAGTATAGTCATCCAAGTAATATTGATTAAATGGGGATCCGATGGGGAAACAAGTCACGTAGAGAGCAGACAAGGAACTGAGCAAGGATTTTTTTTTGGAAAGGGGTGGTTTAGGGATCTTTCTTGGAAGATCCTTGTCCCCCACCCAGGTGATGGATACCTGTTGAGAATATCAGTCACTGATGTTCATCCTGCATGGATGTGCTAGATGTCTTGGTGCTTTAGAAGCTCTGTAGGGCGAGTTCCCCAGACAGACCCAGAGTGCGGTGGTGGGTGGTCGTGTGCTGCCCTGCCAGCCTTCTCCAGTGGCCCGAGCAGAGTCACTCACTCATCAGACATCTACCTACTTTTTTCCTAGTATGCTTTTTTTGGTTTGTTGTTTTTGAAACAGGACTTCAAATTCATAGTCCCCTTGCCTCCACCTGCTGGATTCTAAGATTACAGATGTGCCTGGATTTTTCCTGCCTCTCCCCTATTGAAATCTTTGTCGGGATGATTGTAGAATCTAACGCAGGTGTAGGAATTAATAGATCCTGAGTCCCTGTTGCCCATTTCCCCCATCGGTGACATTTTGCAGAACTACAATAGGGTGGATACAGTGTACCCAGCACTGCTTCACTGGGTCCCTGTTTTTTGGATGTATTGTCGCCTTCACCGGCTATGTGTTCACGCCACAGGGTCTCCTGAACATTTCTCTTTCCACCATTTATAGCTACACCCCTCTCCTTCCACTTCACCTCTGACCCTTAGCCCCTCGTCTGTCCCCATTTATACAATTTTTGTTTTTTGTGCTAGGGAATGAACTCAGCGCCACCCATGCTAGGCAGGTAGTCTCACCTCAGCCTTATTTGTACAGTTCTGTCCCCTGAACAGTGTTATAAAGTCATTGTGCAGTCAGGACCTTTTGGAAGTGGGCTTTGTCCCAGTGTAATTCTCTGGAAACTCACTGCAGCTGTGCTGGGGAAAGGTCCTCGTCTTTCTCTCTCACTGAGAGTGAGCATCAGGGCTGACCCGCGCCTGCCCTCAGCATGGCCTGATGCTCTCCCGGTCCTGGTGCTCACTGGAAGCTCCATGTGGTGCGACAGCCCTCTGTGGCAGTCTGCGTCTCTGTCGTTCTCTGTTAGCTCATGTCCTCATTCGCCCACCCGCTGCTGCAGTGCAGGGTAGTGCTGGGGGGGCAGGAAGGGGTGTGGCCCAGGTGCTGGTCTGGGGAGGCTTGGCTCTGCGCCCGCCCCCTGGCCTGGCTCCCTGGGGAGCCTCTCACTGCCACTGTCCCTGGAGGCTTGGACTGGTGCATCTCCCCTAACACAGGGCTACTCCTCAGTTTGCTTGCTGTAGTGGGGACGTGGCAAGGCAGCACCAGCTGCAGAGCCCAACATGGGGTGCAGGCCAGCAGTGCTGCCGTGCTTCCTGATGGCTGCCAGAGGCCCTCCCACTACTCTGGTGTCTTCTCTTCTGCTTTGGCCCTGCCCTCTCTCTGCGGGGCTATCTGTTCACTCTCACTGACTTTGCATCCTGTGGGCTGTGGGCTGGGCTCTGGTAGTGTGAACAGTAAGGCAGCCTCCATCCTTTCTTTACGGTGCTGGTGATTGGAACCCTTGGGTGTGCTAGGGGAGCACTGCACCGCCGAGCTATACCCCAGCCCTGTGTTTTGAGGCAGGTCTTGCTAGGTTTCCTGGGCTGGCCTTCTTGGAATCCTCCCTCAGCCTTCAGGTAGATGGGACTGTAGTTGTGCACCACCAACCTGGCTGTCCCCATCTTGCCACCTGTACCCTGCTGGTCTGCGCCTTGCCTCAAGGAGTTCACTTTGAGGGGAGGGACACCTGTGGTGCCTGTGGTGCGGCAGCTCTTGTCCGCATGCGGTTTGGGAAGGTTGCCCTGGAGATGGGCAGCTTGGATGGTGACCCAGGAGTGTCACTGAGCTGGGGCAGTGCATGGGGGCGGGTGTGCAGATCAAGAGAGACCAAAGTTGGTGGGAGGTGAGGTCAGGAAACAGGCGGGAGAGCAGACTCAGGTCAGATGTCACCCTGGGGAGGTAGAGAGCACTGGCTGGAGGGTTCTCAGGGAAGGGCATGGGAGAAGTGGGCTGGGTGAAGAGTCCTCCTCTGCTGAGCCTCAGCCACCCTACTGTCCTGCCAGGTACCCCAGCGTGGCCTGCGAGATCCTCACCTCAGACGTGCCCCAGATAAACGATGCCCTGGGTGCAGACGAGTCGCTCCTGAACCGGCTCTATGGCTTCCTGCAGAGCAGCGACAGCCTCAACCCACTGCTGGCCAGCTTCTTCAGCAAGGTCATGGGCATCCTCATCAACCGCAAGACAGACCAGGTGCGCTTCCCTCCCTGCGAGTGGGCTTGGGCCAGGGCTGGGCCTGTGCTTGATTCAGCCCTCTGCCCCCAGCTCGTGTCTTTCCTGCGCAAGAAGGACGACTTTGTGGACCTGCTGCTGCGGCACATCGGCACCTCGGCCATCATGGATCTCCTGCTGCGCCTGCTCACCTGTGTGGAGCGGCCCCAGCTGCGGCAGGATGTCTTCACTGTGAGCTGGGCTGTGGGGGTTGGGGCGGGCTGGCATGGGACTGGGCACCACTGCAGCCCCTGTTCTTCTCCTCAGTGGCTCAATGAGGAGAAGATCGTCCAGCGGCTGATTGAGCAGATCCACCCATCGAAGGATGACAATGTGAGTGCGTGGTGCTTCCCCCCCGACCTCCCTGCCCAGCCACACTGGGCTGTCACCGGGAGGTCCCGGTGTCCTGGTCAGGCTGGGTCCCCTGGGGGGGCCTGGCATGAGATGGGGCCCTGCCACTGCCTGCTGGGATAGCCTCTGTTTTGCTTTGCTCTTGTACCCCACTTACACACAGCTTCCTTGATGTGAGTGGCGTACTGTCTGGCAAAGGTGGTAGCTCAGCAATTTTCCCGTATTTGCAGTGTTGTGTGGCTGTTACCACGTCAGTTAAAGTACTCTTAGATTTCTGGCAAGACGGGGCCATTGGCAGCTCCTCACATGGCCTGGCCCTGTGTCCCTCAGCCAGGCCACTCCATCTCTGCAGTTGGGCCCTTGTGTAAATGGAAGCCTCTGCTGTCTGATCCTCTGTGCCTGGTCTCTTCCCGGGGTGTGGTGTTCCTTGGTCATCCTTAGGCTGGGGATGTGATGTAGCTCAGAGGGAAAACACTTGCGTGAAGCTCAGGGTTTGGTCCCAAGCACGGGGGGAGGAAAGGGTTACCCTTCCGTAACAGGAGCCAATGCCTCGTTGCTTTTCCTGGCTGAGCAATACTCCATCATAGCATGGGCAGACCATGCTTCACCCTCTGGCACCAGCTGCAGGCACCTGGTGGTGTGTGGACGTCTCCTCTGAAAGTCGTTGGTGCCTCTGTGTGACTGCCCTTCCCTGTCCCTGCTGGGGAGTCCTGACCTGTCCCCCCTCCCCAGCAACATTCCAACGCGTCTCAGTCTCTGTGTGACATCATCCGCCTGAGCCGGGAGCAGATGATGCAGGGCCAGGACAGCCCGGAGCCTGACCAGCTGCTGGCTACCCTGGAGAAGTGGGTTTGCGGGCCAGCGGGACCGGGAGGGTTGTGCCGGGAGACAGGCCCTGACCGTGCTGCCCCTCCAGGCAGGAGACCATCGAGCAGCTGCTGAGCAACATGTTGGAGGGGGAGCTCAGCCAGTCCGTGCTCATCAGCGGGATCCAGGTGCTGCTCACTCTGCTGGAGCCCCGGCGGCCCAGGTGTGGCACCTGCGCCCTGCCTGTGAGGTCCTGCCAATCAAGGTGGCACTGAGGCTCCAGGCTCCTCTTGCTCTGAACGCTGTGGCTGTGTTTAAGGCTGGAGGGTGGGGCGGGATTAACAGCCTTCGGCCTCAGAGCCGCACTCTGCCCATCTCCCCACACCCCTGCACTGCTGGCTCTGCTCAGGATGAGGCCTGAGACACTTGGCCCCAAGTGCAGCCCCAGCTTCACTTCCCTGTCTGTGCCGCAGGTCGGAGTCCGTGACCATGAACAACTTCTTCAGCAGCATGGATGGGCAGCTGGAGCTCCTGGCCCAGGGGGCCCTGGACAGCGCTGTGTCCAGCATGGGGGCCCTGCACGCCCTGCGCCCACGGCTTGGCCACTTCCACCAGCTCCTGCTTGAGCCTCTCCAGGTGGGGGAAGTGGGGGTCACTGTATTCCTGGGAGGAATGGGGGTGACCAGGAAGGCAGCCTTCAGGAGCTAACTGTCCCCTGCTCCTGCAGCTTGAGCCGCTGCAGATGACATGGGGCAGCCTGGCCCCGCCCCTGGGCAACACGCGGCTGCATGTGGTTAAGCTCCTGGCCAGTGCCCTGAGTGCCAATGACGCTGCCCTGACACAGGAGCTCCTGGTGCTGGATGTGCCCAACACCATGCTGGTATGGGTAAGGGCTGTGGGGGCAGGGATGTGGGTGGCAGGGGCTGTGTGTCTCTGGTGCCAGCCCCTGCCCCCTCCCCAGGACCTCTTCTTCCACTATGTCTTTAATAACTTCCTACACACGCAAGTGGAGGTGTGTGTGAGCGCCATGCTGAGCTTGGGGCCCCCTCCCAGCAGTGGCTCTGAGACACTGGGCCTGAACCCTGTGCTGAAACACGTGAGTGCCCTCCTTGGCTGTGTGTGGGGCAGTGCCAGTGTGGGCAGCAGGGCTGGGTGTGGGCACACACAGGGGAGAGGGACTGGGGCTGTGTTCCACCCTTGTCTGTGCTGCCTGGGCCTGATGCCAGCCAGGTGCTCACCAAGTGCGGGCCCCGGCCAACACCACCTCGTCCCACAGTTGCTGCAGCACTGCCGCCTGGTAGAGCGGATCCTCACGTCCTGGGAGGAGAATGACCGTGTCCAGTAGGTGCCTGCCACCTTCGTATGGG